TCGGTGAAGAAATGCATCTCTGCAGCTTTAGTGTGGGCATGTGTTGTTTTTAAGCGAACCTCATGTGTTTTAAGACACAGCTTTGGTTTCAAGGTGTCTCATTGAGATATGTACTTAACATGAGTAAAATAGAGAAGCCTCCCTGCCCTGCCAGACGACAGGCATCTTCTTCATTTGCAGATTGTACAAAGTGATGACTTTCTCCCTTTCCTCTGATATCAAAGGCCTTTTCTCAAATAAAAGGTCACCGGATTGCTCAGTGTTTTTCAGGTTTGACACTTAAAACACAGACATTTTAAATCTTTAGTACTTTTGTATTGACTGGACCCTGGACATCGGTATTCCCCTTACATTATGTTTTGGTATCAGAAACCTAGATAACCCCTTAACTTGGATAGATAATCCCTTATTGATAAGCCCAAATACCATGGCATGTAAACACCCCATGTAGGATTCTCATCATTATCTACCATCGGGGCAGGTGCTTCCTCAGCTTCAGTTGGGTTAGTTACTTAAGTTTCGTGAAAAAAAAATGTGAGGATATTGATTGTTTTTTTTTTTCTTTCATTACTGATTATCAGATGACAAAGGCAAATCAAGCAGAGAAGTAAACACTTGAAATGAACTAAACCAAGGTCTTCCTGGACTGCTAAGAATTGCCCGCCACCCATCCTCGCAAGTTGACAGTATTGGTACCATATATATTGGTTATATGACATATGAAACCCTGGTTGTCTGGATCCATTTATTATTATGAGACTGTCATTGGTTCACTGCCGTTCCAGGGTGGAAATACGTAGTCATGGTGTTGACTGCTTATTTGGCTCATGATATGTCAAGTAAAAATACGATATGGACATGATAACAAGATTAAAAAATTTATTTTTATCTGAGGGGTTCTTTAAGAGAGAGACAAACACAGTGATAACATTTGTCAGTACAGCTTACTAGGAATAATACGACCACAAAAAACAGGGAGTTCCCTCCACTAGAAACCTGCATATTGTTAAAATAATAATGAATAGCCAAGTTTCTAATGCTCCAAAGCAAATGACATATCCTTAATAGTATTAAAACAAGGGTAAGCCTAAACTGGGACACCTAAGGTACTCACTGACTCCATCTGTTCAAGCAGCATATATATATATATATATATATATATATATATATATATATACACGTGTATACTGCTGTCATCCCAGAGAAATACCTCCGTACAATGAAAAAAAACTGTAATAGATTGTGAATAGTTTCATATCGCTATGATTTGTGAGATAGCAGTATTCTCCCTCCTCTCTTGTCTCCTCCTGGAGGGGAATCACTCCCGCTGCAGGGACATGCTACTCTGTAGCCGCCGAGTATAATTTACACGATACAATTGCAAGATATCTATCATTAAATTGGAAATTAAAATTACACATAATAAGCGTAAGGGTTATACCACTGCCAACCAGCCATTTCATAATAGCTGTAGACCAGCAGATTCACATATTGGTCATGATTTATACAGAGAGCAAAGGTTCTGTTGTTGTCGTCAGTAGTCTGGGGTACAGTGTGTTCTCAGGTGTTGTAATGCTCTGTCCTGTCCTCTCTTACTGTGGGGTAAGTGGCATTGATTTAAACATAGTGTTTTTGAACTGATGAGGAAATCTGCTACTCCAGGAGCGCACTGCAGCATGATGCACTGAAAGAATATTAATGACGTGAGCTGTGTGTGTGTGTGTGTGTGTGTGTGTGTGTGTGTGTGTATTTATCTAAAAATGTTTTGTACTTCTGAGCTTCTCTCAGTGAAAAGGTTTAGACAGGGAGGAAGACAGGAGTGTGAGTGTATGTGAGAGAGAGAGTGTGTACTCTAACCCCCAGCAGTAGAGACATGATGAGCAGACAGGCTGCTGTTTAATAGATTACAAGGTAACATGGCGACCCATCGATCGCACACACACACACACACACACACACACACACACACACAGACACACTCTTACTCAATGGCTCTTCCTCTCTCAGAATTCAGTGGAGTAGGATTACAATGAGACAAAGCAGAAACACTACACTGCCAAGGACCCAGTAGAGTGTATGTGTTTGTGCATGTGCACGGGTTTATGAGTCTGACTTTTGGGGACAAATTTCAGACTAAAGACCAGTTCATTGGGGACAACTTGTCCAATTGGGGTCCCCACTTGGGAAAAAGCTGATTTTTCAGTCTGTGGTTAAGGTTAACAAACATGGGTCCCCACGTGTCCAGACTGCTTTTTGAAGGTTAAGATTTGGTTTTAGGGTTCAGGTTAGAATTAGTTTTAGGTAAGAGGAAGGGTAGGTGTTAAAGTTAGGAATTTTGCTGTGATGCTGTGATGGTTAAGGTTAGGTCCTCAGCAATGCACCCACCAAGTTTGAAGTCGATTGGATGAGTGTCTGTCGGCCTTTTTCTTCTCAACAACTTTGCAACCAGGCAGTTCTCAATTTATAGTTTACAGTTTAACTCTAAGCCCCAAAAATAAGTCCCACTTTAAATTTCCCTTCAGTAAAAGTGAAAAACACCCCTGTACTGTCTTGGTTACTGCTGGTCTATTGATTTACAAAGTTTCTGCCTATAGGACCGTCATCAGGTATAAGGACAAGCATCACAACAGTTCCATATATAAATACAGTATATACATAGTTGCAAGGTAAATCAGCAAAGCTAAAATATCATGACACAGATCAAAGTGATGATAAAAAGACTAAAGGTTGGCAAAGGGGCCAGTATTCATCATACACATGATGCTTTCAATTTTATCATGCATAAATAGAGCATTACAAGAACATTCATATAACTGTCTACCGTCTACATAACTAGACTATGCGTCCTCTGAGCAGCACTACTTCTTCGGGGCAGACTGGATGCTACAGTGACTTGCTATTGGAAAGATCATCTGGCCAGACCGTGGCTACCTGGTTAGCATGCTAACTTAAGTAGAAGAAAAGAAGTGATAGAAATAGAAGCAAAACAAGATTTAACATTGGTGTGGCTTTAATGCTGAACTCGCAACATTTCTTCTAGACAGCTGTTATTGCTCATGTGAGCTATGTAGCAACAGCAAAACTTACAAAAAACTCCTTTAAATAATTTTATTTTGTTTGATGATTTAAGTTCAGTTCATCTGCAAACTTGCCTATCAAATACATTTTTTTATTAAAATGTATATTACAGGAGTGTGAGACACAGAGCAAGAACATTAAACACATAATTTTATATTCCTGTTCAATGAGTGATCTCCATGCTCCTATCACTATGTTGGCTTGTAAATTCTCTGGTATGATCATTACTTGCGGAGTGGCAGTGTAGATAATGAAAACTGAAGGAATAAACATCAGCTACTTTCCTGAATAGTAAAGAGATGACATTGGTGTGAATGTTTTTGTGAAACCCCACAACAAGTTTATAGAATCATAAATATATATCACTACATTTTGCCTAATAGGATCTTTAGGGCCTCTATTGCACAATTTTGTTTCTGACTCAGTGTAAAGGAAGCAATGCTGTGGTGTGAAATTCTGTTGTAATTTCAAGTAGGTCAAGTACAGTACACTAAATGCATTACTGATGGGATTTGATATACTGCTTCTTCTCTTTTAGTGATAACACAAATAAACGCAGAGATAAGCAGGATCACTGGGCTGGTTTATACTGTAATTGATGGTTTTAGATGCTAACTCATAGAGCTTATGTACGACATTATTCTTGACCTTGGAAATAGCAGGGGGTTTTTTTTGTTGTCAGTTGTCATGAGCAAACTCCATCTGCTGATTAAGACTGTGAGATGAGGTTGAAGGTTTTGGAAAATGCCAGGATATAGACCTGGAGTTCATATGTCAAACTCTGGAAAAAAGCTACTAAGGTGAATGTTATAGATTTTTTTTGTCACATTAATTATTAGTCTTTGCGCTTCATATCTTGCAGGTGCCCTCTCTTTGACTTACGTCCAGTCTTTATATCCGCTTAATCATTTTCAATGAGAACACAAAGGCTCCAGGTTCTGGCAGAAAAACACAGATTTGTCAGGATTTTGCCAGAGCGCAGTGTGATACATCCAGGAAGACACTGCTTTGGCCAGTCGAATACATGCAAGCGCACAATCCTGCTGGATCATGTTGTATTTGACTGTTTACCTCCTGATTGTTGTAAAATCTTGCCTCATATTATAAACTGCTGTGCAGTGTTTTCCTAACTGATGAGCCTTCAAACTCACAGATGTGTAATTCTAACTGGGTTTCCTGGATTATATTTCATTGTTTTACCGGTAACTACTTTTTTTTGTTTTAACTCAGGCCTGTTTTTAGTCTGAATGCTTGCTAACAGTGTGACACAGCAAAGCTTAGCTCACAGGAACAAGGTTTCCCTCTGGGACTTTAGCTTATGCCAAGTTTAGCCCAACAGCTGCTGTTCTGTGTCCTCTGTCTCTCTCTGGGCTTGTAGTTCTTGATCAATACAGGTTTTGGTTTCATCCGTCCATTATTCTGTCTGTTCTGTAGTTGTAAACCACATTGTTTTTCCGGATGCTATTTTTGTGTCCATGTTGATTAAATAATTGATAGTGAAAATGTGTGCATCGACACCATCAGTGTTCATGATACTGCTGGATTCTCAAACTGGGGGCTCATGCTGGCCAGCTCAGCGAAATGTGTCTCTCTGTTTAGACGACAAAACCATTTTATCTGCTCTCAGGGGGCGTTAAGGCTCTGCTGACTGTGCATGTTGCAGTCTTCATGGCTGTGAGCTGGGACAGAACAAGGGTGTGACAAATCATATCAGTCATATTGTCGTGGTCTAAGTGTAAATGGTTTATCACATGGTCATTGATGTGCAGAGTTCTCCTCTGCAGTGAGGGTTATTATAAGAAAATGATGATCCAGTTTCAGTGACAGCAGCTTCTGTTGGTGTAAGATGTCTTAAAGGTGAGGTCACCCAGCTGTGTTGGCCACCATTTTCTAAACTTTTTTTTTTTCTCTGTCTTTTACAGCTGAAACTTGAAGATCGATCTATTGTCATCAGAGACATTGTGCGACGGAACAATTCAAATGTAAGTGAAGTCCTCAGTCTGCATCTTTTTTTGTTGTCTCTAACCCTCTCCCTTTTCACTTCACCTCCTTCATTTTGTCTTATTATTTCCAGCTCTTTTTCAATCAGCTCTCCCATTGTCAGTCATGTCACAGCTCACTGCTCCGTTCCTTTTGCTGCATCAGACATGACTGGAATATTATTGCAGGTCGACGCTAACACAGGACTAAAAGGAGGCTCTTTGTGTTAACACAGTGCAACAGCTCAATCTGAACATAAATACAACATTAAACCTAAAAAATGACTTTTTGTTTTGGTTGAAATACAAGTGTTGTTTTGTTCATAAGTTATCAGACCAGTGATGCTGCTGGACACCACTAAAATTTAAAAGCTTACAAGCAAAACCTGTAGGTTTCCATTGATGGACAGGATATTGTAATGTAGATAATGTAGTGATAGTATGATGACATGCTCAACCTGTGTTCGTTGCATTGCAGGACAACCAGTGCGGTATTGTGACCAACATTGACATCGAGTGTGCAGTGAAACTCGTGGGAACAAACTGTGTTTTGTATCCAGTTAACAGCAAAGACCTGCAGCACATCTGGGTAAGAGAGGAACGTTTTACTTTGCAGTAAATCTGTGGTAGCGCTTTATTTTACACATGTACAATTTCCTATAAGTGATTTCCTATGAAATTTCCTGGAAATAACTGTTATAAAAATCAGTAACAAGTACAGCAATGATTTATTTTATGGGTTCTGTATTTTCCATCTAATTTCCTGGAAACTTGTCTCATAATATCCTAAAAAATTGCTGGTTTTACTTGTTAATTATTAAGATATTTTGAAGACATGCCTACACACTTCAGTACTAATTATAAGGGAAATAAGGGAAAAGTTCTGGCTGTTACAGCTATATTAAGTACCCCCTCATTACACCGACCAGCCACAACATAAAAACCAGTTTTAGGTCTTGGCTGATTGGTGTAGACCTCCTCTGTCATTAATAATGATCTGATTTTGTTTTTTACAGTCAGTAATACAGATGACAAACATTGTCTTGCATATCATGTTGAGCAGTATACGCAAGGAGTGTGTTTCATTGTGTTGTTACCTTTAGGAAATGAAGTGTTAAGTAATCATAATCAATACACACATGTTCATGTAATTGATTAATCACATGCTACATTACTGAAACCACCTTCAAAACCTCTGTAACTTTGAATAAAAATTTACCGCAGTCCAAACAGTCTCTAGTGTCTCAGGGACCTAGAGCGAATAATCTGTAGTGATTGCCATTAGAGAGTCATGTAGAAAAGGACACTGACCTAAACTATTATTTTGTCCCTTCATAATTATTATGTCTAAGATCAAAATTTGATAAAATGTAAAACTGATCATTGTCCTGTTCCTGATCTTCAGTCTTTTATGTACGGCGACTACATTGCCTATGACTTCTGGCTGGGGAAAGTGTACGACCTGACTAATCACATCATCCTCAAGCTCTCCAATGGAGCCAGGTAGACTGTGTGTCTGTGTGTGTGTGTGTGATTATACTGCATGTACTGTGACCATGTGGTAGTCTGTCGCAGTGTCTGCATGCTGGCACACATTCATCACTGCCAAATCCAGTGAATGTCTACCCACTGTCCTCCCCTTTCCCACCCTCCAGGTGCTCCATGAGTGTGGAAGACGGTGCCAAGCTTTACGACGTCTGTCCACATGTCAGTGATTCGGTACGTACCCACGAGCTCTCATCTGTCACTTCAGGTGTTCGCACTTTCTGAAGTTCTCTGCTGCTGCAAGTTGAACAGAACAGCTGTTAATCGGGGTCAGGTCACTTTTGAAAAAGCTATAGCCAGACAAATGAAATGAGTCGTCTGACACTGGCTTATATAGGCTGTAGAAGATTGTTCTACAGGTACAACCTTGCATGATAAAACCCTAACCCTATGCATAATCTCCAAATTAAAATTTTACAGTTCACATCGGCACATATTTATTTCACTGACTTTTTCAGAAGTTTTATCAAGTGAATTTTGTTTAGTCATACAGAAGTATGACACATATATAGTATAATGCATTGTTTGTGTCAGCATTATGTTTTCTGTTGTTTGTCTTGTTACACTCTTATTACTGTGTTGTTTTTCAGGGTCTGTTCTTCGACGAGGCGTATGGTTTCTACCCAGGGCAGGTCCTGATTGGTCCGGCCAAAGTCTTCTCTAATGTACAGTGGCTGTCAGGGGTCAAACCTGTCCTCAGTAGGAAGTGCAAGTTCAGGGTTGTGGTAGAAGAGGTAAGACGGTGATGATGGCTCTTTCTTTTCTGCATATCACACTTAACATCTGTCAGTTCACACACACAGAAATAAAAATGCTGCTGTGAGAAGAAAGTGCAACCCGTCATTGTATCAAAGTATCATCATTTCCAACTCTGTAGTAGAGTTTTCATTATGAATAATTGCGACTGACTCTAGAAGCAGTTCTTTCTCCAACACAGTACTTTGTTATACAAAGCAAAGCATTTCTTGTTTTAGTAACAGAAACAGGAGAATTAAAATCTCTACCGTGATGACATGATGATGGGATCATTTTACACATTATATCCACATTTAGAGCTCTGCATGGACGCCTCGGTCACGATGACTTCCCCCATCAAACCTAGCTCTGTGTTGGATGGAGGGAAACACACTATAATCAAAACAACAATAACATTTAATTACGTATCATACATTTTTTCTAAATGGTTCTGTGGTGTCATTGTGCTTTCCTCAGGTAAAGGTGGTTGAACTGAAAGTGACGTGGATCACCAAGAGCTACTCCCCAAAAGGCTCCGATAGCGTCTATCCACCTTCCTCCACCATCACACAGGAGAATCTCTGCCGGTCAGTAGGAATATCAATCCTTGTGTCCTTGCACAGATTTATGTATGCCTTCTTATTTAGGATTGCTTTAAATTTTATTTTCTCGCAGCTTTAAGAATTTAAATAATATACTAAATGGGACATCTTGTGTTTTTGCACTGCTCTTCCAAGATATCTGTTTTTAGTGAATGGAAATCAAAGAACTGTGGTCCAAAAAACAGAACACATACAAACTGATACTGTGTTATGTTGCCCACGGTGTAAAGTGACTCTCCTGGCTGCTTTTAGGGTGAGACGTCTGGGCTACTACGACCACACCCAGAGGCAGCTGGGAGAGAGAGCCCTCTACGTCTTTCCTGCAAAGGGAGATGCCACACGCATCACCTGTGAAGGACCCGAGGGTGCAGCTGTCCTACCAGAAGACCCTGTGGCCAGAAAGGTGTGGATAAAATGTGTTTATAGATAGATTTAATTGTGTTCTTGTATCTGAAAAAGATGTTACCTGTTGACACAGCCTGTTACCCCGCCATGAGCATATTAACACTTAAAATCACTTGCTTTACACAAGAAGTTAATGAAGAGTAGATGATTATGGTGTCGGGTGTATTTTAGGAAATGCCCTCTTTGAATGTTGGTTACCCCTTTTTATCACAGAGACTCTCAGTACTTGTAAACAGCCAGACATTTTTTGATCATCTTCAGTCTGTCTCTGTGTGTGCCTGTGTGTTTGTTTCCTGCAGCTGAAAAGGATGTTCAGAAAGGATCTGGGGAAGAAGACGGAGAACACCGACACACAAGGTAGCAAACAGCACACTGCAGAAAACACCAGAGGAACATCCAGTACACACAGACACACTTCTGCTCTCTAATTCTGTCATTGTCTCTCTGTTGCCTCTGTCATGAACTCAACTCTAGACTCTAGATACTGTTGAAGAATTTCACTCAACCAAAAATAGATGTGCAAAAATGTAAAGTAGAGTCAGACTACTTATTACATATAAATTGGTATCCACTGACATACTGGCTGCTAGTGAACAAAAAATGCTGAAGATGTGTTTTTGATTTGAGTGCAATCTGTTGACAATAAGTTTATTTTACAGTTGGAAAATCTACTGAAATATAGGTTTTCTTTCTTCAGTCTATCTAGTCTCCTAGAACGCTGCTCCAGTGGTCATCACACAATCATTAGTCAAACACATGAACATTAGTCAGAGCCTTCACCATCTCATCACATTAATGAGACAGAAATGAGAGCAAGTGCAGATGAACTGGGGTTTAAATGAACATTGGATGTGAAACGATAAGCATAAAGAGGGCATAAAATACGTTTTCTCTCAGCACGCACACACACACAAACACACACACACACACACACACACACACACACACACACACAAAGTTCTCAATCATTTATCATTGTGAGTAACGTGAGCATTATTTTTTGCTAGCATCCTCTCTAGAGTAGCTGAAAACGAAACATCTCCATGCAAAGTCAGACTGATTTAAAGTTCCTGTGAGACATCAGCCGGTCCTTTTCACAAATGGAGCTCAGCACAGAGGGAACGGACTAATCAGAACTTGTGCTGAAGTGCAGCACACTTCAACAGAAAAATACATTTGCTGCATGATTCAGGAAAATAGAGGATGACAGTGTCTCTCTGGTTAAATGTGAAATCTATTTTACCTTCTAGCTGCATGAACATCAATAATCTGTAAAGGTACTCTACATGATCTCCTCTGAATGATCACGTGTTTTTTACCGTGTACAGTACCGCTTTATTCTCTGCTTTTCCAAGTGTTTCCTCCACGCCTTAAATTGAAATACTAATACATGCTCTTTCACTGTCTCTCACCAGGTGAACACAAATCAGAGCAGACAGACTCATCTCACTCCAACAACAACGGCCCTGTGGTTCCCATCCAGAACCCCCCAGACTCCCAGAGCACCAACGACACCTTGACTGAACATGGGGAGCAGGACGCTGACGACGAGGCTGCAGAAGACACTGACGACACCAGGTCTGTTGAGATTTCGTTTGTTCTTTGTTTTAAAATTATATCGGTGTGAACGTGTGGAAGTGTGAGAGGCACTTGACGAGCAGCCGGTGTCAACCACTTGTCCGCTTAAAGGTTATTAACATGAGCTTTTGCAAAGTATGATGTGATCTGATGCAATAGTGCAGCAACAAAAACTTTATTCGTGAAGAGTGAAGGTTGACATTTCTGTCTCTGAGGGATGTTGATTCAAGCCTGTATTTATTTGAGGAGATGTGTTGGAGTGTATTACCTACAGGGTTCATAGGCTGAATCTAGTGAGTCTCTCAGCGCTGCTGCACAGATTTATCTATTTGAATGTGGCACCTTTGCACTGATTTACTAAAAGTCATGCAGGAATGACAGCTAATTATTCTGCCTGTTACCTTGCAGGTGCACGGTTTTAATCTAATATTAGTCTCTCAATGTCAATTATGCTTTGTTAAATTTAATTTGTATAATTATTGAAGTTGAGCCACTTGCTAATGAAATCCTTCTCATGAGAGTGTTTGTGTGTGATGGAGAGAAAGGGAGACAGACGGTAACACGTAGCACACACTTTAATTAGGTTTATGTTTAATTGTACTTTATCACCTTTTCATTACTGAAATGTGGGATTTAGTTAAACAGGACAAGTATTCCTTTAAATAAAAGTGATGGGAATATGTTTTGTCAGTTTGGCAGCCAAAGGCTGAAGCTTGGCTGAGAGCCTTGCAACCATTTCTAAAAGTTAAAGTCTGAGCCTGTTCAGCATAAAAAAAAAACTACCACAGAGCTGAATCATCGTCTCTTATATATGGCCTCGGCAAGAGATTTTATAACTTCAAACTAACAAACTTTTCAGCAAAAATGCCAAATCTTTTTCTTGTAATTTGAAGATGTTACCTTGGGCTCTATATTTTGTGAGGCACATTCCTCACTATTATCTGACAATATATAGAGCAAACAATTCATCAGTTAATCAAGAAAATGATCCACAGATTAATCAGTAATGAAAATAAATGTCAGTTGCTGCATACTTGATATAAAATTACACAAAAAATTTACTTATTCAGTCTAATGATCCTTAACCTGTAGCATGAAAAACATCCTGTGTATGTATTTTTCAATTGTAACTTCGGTTGCAGCTCTCTGACGTCATCGGCAAGCTCCACAGCTTCCTCTCAGAGCGGTGGTCTGGGAACAAACCGTAAGAAGAGCATCCCGCTCTCCATCCGCAACCTGAAGAGGAAGCACAAGAAGAAGAGGACCAAGTTCTCCCGCGAGTTCAAGCCCGGAGACCGGTGGGTGGGGTGGGGGATACACAAGTACAACATCTTTCTTTCCTTCCTTCCTTCCTTCCTTCCTTCCTTCCTTCCTTCCTTCCTTCCTTCCTTCCTTCCTTCTCCCTTCCTTCCGCTGGTTTGTTCTTCATTTCTCTTCAATTTTCTGTCCTTCTTTTGGCCTTTTTTGCTCCAATTCATATCACACATTTTGCTCTTTGATACTTCTCTGTATCCATTCATACAATAATCCTCTATTGGCCAATTGTATTTCTGTCTGTTGGCAACTTTTCTGTATGTAGCGACTCATCAGCCCACTCTGGTGACTGCATTTCTCAACAGCCATTGATCCAGTGTCTTTTTTAGAAGTCTGGAGAGCAACTTAAGTGTTCTGATATTTGGCAGATCTATAAGGCTGATGGGTTGATGACGATGCTTCCCATAATCCCATACATTCGGTGACCTATCCTGCTGCTGTGTCAGGAAGTTGATGTAAAAATTAGACCAATGACATCATCTGTTACCGACTGTTAAAGCAACCAATAGCTGCTTTGCCTGCAAAAAAACACATTGTGTCTGCCTGTCTGTTTGTCCAGGCTCTCTCTTGTTTGTCAAGTGGCTCATGTCTCGATCTGTCTGACAGTGACACTGGAGCTTGGCAACACGCACATCAAGACTTTCAGAGCAGTCTACTGATTGTGTCATTTTTTTCTACCACACACTGTCACACACATCCTCAGCTTACAGAACACCGAATGCACCATGATACTGCAGGTTTTCTACTCTTTGCCATTTAGTCTAGTTTAGAAATTCAAGTTTTCCAAAGCAAAAAGTTTGACGTCACTAGTCTGGGCTGATGGCATGATTCTGTTTTCGCATTAAATGAAAAGATGTTAGACTTTTTCAGACCTGCGCTGCCGTCTTGTTTTTGACTCCTCTGGGCTTGACTGGATGTTATTGCAGATCAGGAATTTTTCATAGTCTCTGATGCAGGGAGATGATGCTGACATTACCCTAAATAAGGCAGCATTATACTAGAATTTAAATCATAATAGGCTTGTGAACCAGTCACGTGTTTATAGTCAACACTGTCACATGATTCCTTTATTTGTGTCAGTGTATCATTAATTTCTTTTGATTACGCCTTTTTTGTGCTGAATAATTTAATCAACAATGAGACTAAGAGGATTTATGCACTTATCGCATCTCATCATTTCTCAACAACCGATTTAAAGAGGTGGATGGCAGTGAGGCAGATAGACGCAGCAACATGCCAAGAAGGGAGACGAATGTAGTGGCTGGGTGAAGATAAATGGCTCAGTAGATAAGAAGACTGTATAAGTATAGGGGAAAATAGCAGCAGGAATCACCTATTTTAGCTTTCCTTTTGTGATGAGTGAACAGTAGGTGACTACAAGTGAGAAAAGGTCCTTAATATAATAAAAAAGCAAGGTTTTTAAATCGTTCACATTTACATCTGAGCCATCAAACACAATATACAAGTCTGATATGTGTGTGTGTTTTTGTGCAGAGTGGCAGTGGAAGTTGTATCCACAAAGACCACGGCTGATGTGATGTGGAAGGACGGGCGGGTGGAGAAGGGGATCCGATCAAACGACCTCATCCCCATCCAGCACCTCGACAGCCACGAATTTTGTCCCGGGGACTTTGTAGTAGACAAACGACGTAAGGAAAATTTAATGGATTAAATATTTTTCTAATGTTGAATTTGATGATTCGTTGATTTCTTTGTTCCCTTTGACTTTGTAGACGAGTGAAGATGCAGGATGTCAGATTTCTGTCCCTGTGGACTGTGATGAGGTGTTTTTTATATAGGCCACTCTACCACCGAGTACCTACAGTATCTAGGTCATTTGCTGAAACCGTGCCAAGTTTCTGTTTATGTGTGTGAAATTTGGCCAGAAAATACAGAGATTTATTTAAAGGCTGCAATGTTACATCCAGTTTCCATTTTCTTTCTTCTAGACAAATACATTTTTCTTTGTATTTAGAGGTTTTTCTGGTTTTGCTTGTGAAACTGTGTATGTGTTTGTCTGCTCGCCGCAGCCCAAGCCCTCCAGGACCCAGGGGTGTATGGTGTCATCCAGTCTGGTGATCACAAGGGCAGAACATGTGTCGTCAAGTGGATCAAACTCAACTCCTCAAGTGATGACGTGGAGGTGAGTCAGGAGCACAAGACAGCAGTGTTTGTGCTTCAAAGAGAATGAAAACACTTGATGTTTGGGTGTTTGTGAGTGTGTTGGAGAAAGGGAAAAGCTAAAAGAAATTGTCTCTGGTAGCCATAGTAACTTCACTACATATATTCATATACCATTAGCAGATGGTTTTATTTCTTGATACCTGGATGTTTTTGTTTTAATCCAGGTTATCGGTATGGAGGAGGATGTCAGCGTCTACGACATTGCGGATCACCCAGATTTTCACTTCCGCACCACTGACATCGTCATCAGGATATGGAACTCAGAGAACGGACAGAACGACTGCGAAAATGAGGTGGGAACAACAACAAAAAAATAAATTAAAAAATACTAATACTAGTTCTTTCATATGCACTGCACTGAATGTGTTCCTGTATTTAGTCTGACCTAATTGACATTTGAACAAATGTAAGATGCAACATGAAGTCGAATCAACAGTTTCAACACAAACTGAAGATTAAAACCTCATGAAGGTGGACTCTTGTGTTAAACTGCATTCATTTTATCTTGGAGGAACAAATAACCTGGGAACAGAGTGTATACATTTTGCTTTGATAGATATCAAATTATCAATTAGATTGTCATGAAATTTAATATTGTAGAGGGAGGATTTTTATTCTCTTGCACCTCCCTCAGACCAAGATGTCAAAGTCATGCTCTTGTAAGGATAGCCTGTTCTGATATTAATGAAAACATGTTATTTTTAGCATTACTCCAGTTTAGGCTTTAAGAATATTTAATTTAAGTCATCAGTATATACTTTTCATCCAACAGTATTATATTGTGGGCTTATTAACATTGCAGCCTTAGTTCTATTGGTCTTATTGTCTTATAAAGTTTTTGTTTTGTCATATCTTTTCTTGGTTGTTGATAATGGTCGAGTCTCTACATCTACCCTCCCTCAGACTTCAGTAGGACAGGTGTCCAGGGTGGATGTGAGCAGCAAAGTAGAGGTGGTGTGGGCAGACAACTCTATGACCATCGTCCTGCCACAGGTAAATATTTCTACCTGATAAAACTCGGTGTAAGTTTTGACATTGGAGGTGAGATGTCTGTTGCTGATGGTCTCCTGATGATCACACACACAGCACCTCTACAACGTGGAATCTGAGATCGAGGAGACGGACTACGACTCCGTGGAGGAGACCAGCAGCGTCCTGTCCACCGAGGAGTGGGAGGATGAGAGCGACAGCTGGGAGACGGATAACGGCCTCACCACTGAGGACGATAGCCACGTCAACAATGCGGATGTCACCGACACTGCGACCCCGACCCCCACACCCACTGGCTCCACGACCTTCATCATCCCCCCACAGGAGGGTAGTAAAGCCGGGGTCACCAGCCCCACTAAAGGAGTCCCTGGAGAGGAGGGAGAAGCATCTGTGGCTGTAGCCAGTCCTGCCTCTGGAGGAGGTGAGGATCTTTACTTCCAGCATTTACTGTATATTATTGTTCATTTCAAGGGTAATAGTGTTAACTCCAACTGCTTAGTGGAAATAAAACATTACAGAGTTGTTTAGATTGCAAGGCCATTTTATTCATGTGGGTTATTACAAGAGAACTCAACACACCTTATATCAAATTGCATTGAATACAAACAACACATATTTATAGATATAATGAATAGTATGTTTATGGTGTGTATTTTGAGTCAGTCCCACATGCACTGTCCTGCTGCCATAAATTTTAATTAGTAGACCAAATGTCCTTTATAATAGTGTCAACATATGCAATATTTTCTCCTTTTTGAGGAATGTTTGCTGAAACAGTTGTTTTAGGAAATAAATAATAAATACACATTGTTGATTTGGTCTTTCCATGGGATTTGTTGTCAGTAACAGAGATGGAGCTTCATATTAGCATTTCGTTCAGTCTTGTTCAAGTTGGTTTACAGGTGGCACTGACTGTAGGTTTCCTCAATCACACTGAGTGAAAGTGATCTTGAATTTTAAACAAACCAGTAAATAACTTTTATTTCAGTGAGGTTCAACATCAGTTGATGCTTTCACATCACAGACAATGTTCCACCTGTGTCTTGTTTGACATTTCTCTTTAATTATACTTGCAGCAGTTTGTTATACGCTAATTAATTCCGCCCTCTTAGGAACCACTCCAGGAGGCGCAGTCAACGGAGCGGAGAAGACCAGTAAAGATGGTGCCTCTCGGGGCTTCAGGGAGTTGAAGGAGGCCTTGAAGATCCTGGAGAGCCTGAAGAACATGACTGTGGAGCAGCTGTGGACTGGCGGCTCTCCAACCTCTCCAACCTCTGCTGAACCAGCTTCCACAACTAATGTAGCGAGTTCAGTGACGCCCACAGCCCCTGAGAAACCCACCAAGGAGAAACGCTTCCTGGATGACATCAAGAAGCTGCAGGAGAACCTGAGAAAGACGCTGGATAATGTGGCCATCGTGGAGGAGGAGAAGATGGAGGCTGTGGTGGAGGCAGGAGGGAGTGGAGGAGCAGGGACAGAGGTTGGTGTTAAATGGATCTATAACATGGCAGAGTTCATTAATTTTGTGCACAATTTCTCCAGTGCAATCTAAATAAATCAATAAGTGCGACATTGTGACATTTCCTGTCATTAGATTGTGTTTTAACCTGCCGGTGTGTTACTGTTCAGGCGGAGAGAGCTGGAGAGGAAAAGCCCCAACAGGAGCCCCAGACTCCGGTTGGTGGACAAGAGTGGCCCAGTGAGTTTCTCAGTGACACACCAGTACTGTGCCAACAGAGTGGTGGCAAGCCTGGCGTCACCTTCACCAGTGCCAAGGGAGAGGTGTTCTCCGTGCTGGAGTGGGCACCAGGTGAGAAATCAGGATTTAATTCCTTGTTTGCTTCTTTTCTTCTCTCTCTGCCTCCTTTTATTCTTTTCCTATTTTTCGCTCTTTCTCTCCCTCAATACATCTTTTTCTCTTTTTCTTTGATCCCTCCATTTGTCTCATTTGATTTCTGTTCTGTGTTGTTCGAGCTGATTGAATGAAAGACTTGTAGAGCTGTGAGCACATACTTCAAACGTGAGCTCATGTGATAATGGGTCATTGGCGCTTCAGATCTCATCGTGGTTTATGTTAATCTCATGTTTTGTGTCGGTTGAGTTTTGGCAAGCGAACCTGTCTTGTGTCCAGTCAGACGCCACACAGAAGACACCACATTTCCTCATTACTATGAGTGACAGTAACTGCCTCCCATTTCCATTCTGTAATCATACTTGTCCATGACAGACACGCACACGCATCTTTTAGTTTGATGAGGTCCCTGCCCACACAAGCTGGGTTGTATTTGTGTACATTTCTGTTCTTGTATTGCTATTCAATCACCGCTTGTCTTCTCTCTTTGACACAGACACACACTCATTCAAGAAAATGGAGTTTCAGCCGGCAGAGGCAAAGAAGTTCTTCAGCACAGTGAGGAAGGAAATGGCTCTTCTAGCAACGTCACTGCCAGACGGCATCATGGTCAAAACATTTGAAGATCGCATGGTGGGTTTCTGGTCATAAATATCATGGCAACCTTATCACCTGGAAAAAAAAAAAAACTGGCAGCCTTGATACATCTTTGGTGGTAAATCTGCAGATTCACTTTAAGGCACAAAAACAAGGAACCTGAATTAACAACAACATCAACACATTATTTGTCTTTTCAGAATTTAATCCATCGTTGTTGTTGTTGTTGTTGTTATGAAACTATTGTTATGGGCTCAAATAAGGGTAATTTACAATTTTAAGATTGATTGAGTGCAGCGCCAAAATTCATACTTGTAACTTAAATATTTGTGTGCAAAAATTTTTCATGCAGCTTTTTTTCCACAGATAAAGGTGATGCATACCCACATACATGAAATAATTTCATACATTATTTCACAGTCTCAAAATCTTCTTGATGCTTTTTGAGCCCGTATGTGATGAATTGTGAAATCTTTTCTGGACAACAACAGACACACTAGGAGGACAAGGAAGCCCTCATTACATCTCATTTGTTTATGAGTTACAATCAGACATTACTATTTTACAGTGATGTATAAAAAGGAAAGTTAAAGATTAAATGTAAGGTCTTGACTATCATGTACAGTGTTATTCTTTTATCTCACCATATTCCCCATTAACCTCAGTGTAATACAGGAGAGACAATTTGATGTGCACCGCTGACAGCATTCACCGAAAAACCTGTCATAAGTTTCTTTCCTTTCTCCGACACAGGACCTGTTCTCCGCTCTGATCAAAGGGCCGACTCGTACGCCCTATGAGGACGGTCTGTTCCTGTTTGACATCCAGCTACCCAACATCTACCCAGCTGTACCGCCGCTGTTTCGCTACCTGTCTCAGTGCAGCGGCCGCCTCAATCCCAACCTCTATGACAACGGCAAAGTCTGCGTCAGTCTACTGGGCACCTGGATTGGCAAAGTGAGTGCTGACTTAGGTGATTGACATAACTTTAGAGGTGCAGTAAAAACCCGCGGTTTTACAGTAGTGGGAGTTGACCTCTAGTTAAAAGAACAAGTGTTGAAGTATCACAGAGTTTAGATCTGCTTTTTTTTTTTTTAACCAGGCTAAAAATAACTGATTCATTTGGAATAAAATATTAATCAATCATGAAAATGATCATTAGTTGCTAGTTGCAGCTCTGTTTTGGAGCAATGCTAAGATTTTGATCAATATGAAGTAACTAGAAACAACACTGTTTGTTACTGGACATGAATAAATCTGTGTGTTTGGAGCAGAACACATCAGCAGTTCAGTTATGCTTCACGTGTATTTTCAGGTTAAAATGCAGTAGAAAATAAGATTTCATAATTTAGTTTTCAAAGGCTGTTGCAGGTGCAAGCAACTGCACCTTCTACAGGACAGAATAAACAGGGGTTTTGTCTGTCACCTTTTTTTTTTTTTTTTTTTTTTTTTCCAAACTTTCTTTTCTCAAGAATTTGTGCTGATTTGTCTTGATGATATGATCCACAGGGCACTGAGAGGTGGACCAGCAAGTCCAGTCTGCTGCAAGTCCTCATCTCCATACAAGGTTAGTACACACACATACACACCCCACTCTATTCCCCCTCTCTTATCTGCAGCACATAAATGTTTTATTCATGTGTTCATTTGCTCAGAGCTGCCAGTGCAGTGTCGCACACAGTCATTCAACCTAATATATCTGTCTCTCTCGAAGACATGACACGACTTCAATAAAACTTATCTGTGATCTGGCCTGCCAGACAGAGTCCGGATTTTAATTCAATTATCACCGTCTCTGATGAGCGTTTAGCCACACAGTGCAGTATTCATTGAAGTGCATGGTCTCCCTCCACCACACAGTGAAATAACCACTCCGACCCTGCTGGTGCTATTGGTTGCCATGGTTTATTTTGTGTTGGCTCACCAAATCTCATTCATCTCACATGGCGCATGCATTCAATCTAAGTGAACACAAAAAAACACCAAAATTAGCTTTTGAGGATTTTAATTTCTTTCCTTCCCAGTTTTGTGTCTCATAGCATCAGTTTGGCTTTTCCAGTTAAATCTGTTTTTATAACGTCATAGTCTATATGCATCTACATCTATGAAATCTACATAGGCAAGACAAGGCACATTTTGAACACCATGGCAATTCAAAGTGCTTTTTTACAGGCACAGAATGACATTCAAAAATCAGCAATAAAATCAGTTAAGATAGGATTTAAATTAAAAAAACAATAAAATGAAATAATGTTACAGTGCAGTTATCGTGCTGTTTCAGTGCAGTTTTAAGTTGTAAGTTGCTCCAAATGCAACAAGGGAAATTAAACTGCAGTAAAGACAACAGCAGTTAGATTAATTCACTCCCTCGATGTTCTTATTTAATGCTGTATAGCTCATTATCACAAGCAAATCTGAAATGACAAAGGCAAAAAAAAACAAAACATAGTCAATATAATACAAGTCAAAATGATTCTCATTAATTGTTGAAATGAACAAACATGTTATAATTTACCTACAGCACATAACTATCAAAATGTGGATCATAAAGGACAAAATCCACCTGCTGCAGCACATCACACGACCTGACACCTGAACCACTGGACACACTGTACAACCAGGAGTAGTCAGAGTTCAGCTGGCATGTGAGTTGAGTTGGATTAAACAGGGATCTAAATTTGGGCATCATTAGCGTAGTGGTGATTGATCTGTAGACTTTAGTCAAGGCGTGACATGTAGTTGGAGAATATCAAGCCATGCCCAAAACCTTACACGGCTTTTTGACAATTTATGTCCAGACACAAAATGTCTGTAGTTTACTATGTATTTAACATCAAAACTCAAAAATGCTGCTCTAAAAGCCAGTGGATTTTAAATAGAGTCAGAATCACAATCTAAGGCAAACCGGCCTTTGAGTGTGTTGTCAGTGTGATGGAAAGACCCCGGACTGCATCTGAAAACAAGTAACGCTCTTAGTTTGGAATTCTTGACACATTGCAGTGTTAGCTTGGCTGCTGTTGTCACAAACTGTATTTACAGTACAAATGAAAGCTTGACTTTTGTCTTTGACTGTTGTCACTGTTGTGGTTTTCAACTTTGCAGTTTTTGATGCATTAATCTGCAAGTCTTGACCTCACATTCTAGCACGTGCATGTGTATTTCTCCTACAGGCCTTATCCTCGTCAACGAGCCTTACTATAACGAGGCTGGTTTCGACAGTGACCGAGGCCTTCAGGAAGGATACGAGAACAGCCGCTGTTACAATGAGATGGCCTTGATCAAAATGGTCCAGTCTATGACACAGCTTCTGCAGAATCCTGTGGAGGTCTTCAAACAGGAGATCCAGGAGCACTTTGTCTCTAATGGCTGGCGGCTCGTCCACCGTCTGGAGGCGTGGCTTGAGCTGCACGACGCTGCAGAGAGGGGCCAGGCAGCACACATGTCCTGCAGGGCTGCACACTCAAAAGACCGACCTTCATCAGCAGAGCCTCTGGATGAGCAGCTGCCCCTGGGATCAGGCCCCGTGGTGGTGGCCCACAGTAGCCCCAGTAAGCCTGGGGAGGAGGGGGTCCCAGGAGCAGGAGTTACCAGTATTATGGAGGAGGAGCTGGAGGATTCAGGGCTGAGTCCCTCCACTACAGCGGCCTCTCAGCAGGAGCTGAGCCAGAACTCAGACTGTGACAGCAGCCAGGGGAACACCTCTCTGGGTGGGGAAAACAGGCCTGGTTCTACAGTCCCTGGCTCTGTAGTCCGCGGCGGGACGTCAGAATCAGGTTCTGCCTCGGTTAGCGGAGGAGGGGTGGCCTCCGCAGGAAGCCAGCCAGTGGTGCGACCAAAGAAACGGAGAAAGAGCTACCGGAGTTTCCTCCCAGAGGGCAGCGGCTACCCAGACATCGGCTTTCCGCTCTTCCCGCTCTCCAAGGGTTTTGTGAAGAGCGTCCGAGGTGTGCTGTTGCAGTACCGAGCTGCACTGGCCACCGCTGGCATGCCTGAGCACACAGAGGACAAGTAAGTGCCTCCTCACCATTCCCCGACACTCCTCTGCACTGCTTCCTGCTCTCTTCCTCCGTCTCTTCTACCTTTTCATCTGCCTCAAGCTGTAGAGGAGGATCCATTACTTGTCTTGGGGAGGGGGCTACAATTTTCAATCTTCTGTACTACTGTTCAGAGCTGCACTGTGCCCCCAGCACTGCCCACATTTTTGTCCTTTACCTCCATCTCTAAGTCTGTACTGCTCCTGCTGCCCCAAACTCCACAATGTTCTGCCTTTTTTTTTTCCCATAATCCCTCTCGATCAAGCCACTACTGCAGGAGAACTGCATCTTTGATCAGGACAGTGAGCGAGTTCTGATTTAGATGCAACTTGATAATGTCTTTGTTTTCCTTCAGTGTCCCTGCAGATGAGTGTGATGGATAAAGAGGGGTGGAGCTCACATGCGATCGCCCAGTTACACAAACCTAGGGGAGCGACCCCGTCACAGAGAAACCCTCATCTTTTCATGGACACAGGTAAAAACACGGAGCTTTTACTGGAGGCAAAGATTCTCTCTCAGCCTCGAAGACATGGACGTTGACTTCAGTGGCAGTGGTGTGGATGCAAAAAGGACTAAATGAGATGAAAAATCAGTGCCATGAACCCTCTTCCCATCCCCCTCATCCACCTAGCCTCCAGCAAGCATCCACCATATGGGTGGGGACTTGCTGGATAACCACTCTGCCATGTCAATCAGCTGGAAAAATGTAAAGCAGACTGGCGATTGGCTGGGTTCCACTGAAAAACTGCAAATCCCAGCTCTCCTGGCTGTTGGGCTAACTGCGGCTATCTGTAGCACTACTGATATTATCGCTGTATCATCCTGCACTACAACAAACGAATGGACAATCTGGTCTGGGAGAGGTGACGTATAAATACACTGACCAGGAGGATTCTTTTTTAAGTAGAAGTCACTGGTTGTACGCTTTCTGCCAAATTTCTCTCTATTCACAAACGCACTCTCACACACACACACGCACACACACACACACACATACACCCACAAATATTCAAGTAGAACGTACTGAATGTCAGTAAAACTGCCAACCACAACAGCTTCACCACTTTGTCCACTATACTTGCTGGTATTTTCCTTCGCCAATCACTCGCACTGAACCACGCAGCGAACATCGAGTGACAAAGTTTACATACGAATCACCTCTGGAGGTCAGACTGCTGTAGCTGTTTGGTGTGTAGAGAAGCCAGCCAGGAACAGGACGACAGATAGGTGGCTGTATGCGAAGGAGTTTGTGCTCTAGTCAAAGCTTAACACAGCTGCCGCCTCTACATACAAAAGTTCCATTCACTTTCTGTAGAATTTAGCAAAGGTGATCACTAGAAATGGAACTTGTGCTTCGGTGTGTTTAAGGTTGTTACACTCACAGAGGCAGGACTGTCTCAGAGTGGAGCTTTACCCATGATGTTCCACTTTTCTGTGACAGAGGTGAACCCACATCACTGCAAATGACACAAGTTAAAGAATAAATAGAGGAAAAAAAAAACATACAGCATCCATTCCGTCATCTCATGTCAACATGTTGCCTTACTTGAATTGTTCTTAATGATCTCAGACCATTGTGTTCAGAGCTGCTTGTGTCATGCTTTAGACATTAACCTACACAGACCTAGACACAAACTTAAAACCACTAAAACCCTGTTTGAGTGTTTTCCTCCTTTAAAAGTGCAGATTTCTGATAAGCTTCCCCCTTTTATCAGTTCTTAAACATTAGTCTGTTACTCTGCGGCCATTGCTGTATTCTAAGTTTCCTCTCCAAATTGCATGTGCAGAGTTTAATGACATCAGAATACAAACTGCAGTAAGTGTGATGCTGAAGGTTTGTTGATATTATAATGAATCTGCTTGATTATTATTTTCTGTTATTCCATGTTCTGTTATTCCTGACTTGAGCGTCTTATCCCACGAAAGTTACCGCAGGACCCCACTGACGAGAGGAAATTACACAAATTACAGCACGCAGGCAAAACTTTAGCCAATCTGACTGTTGTCTGTGATATTCTTTTTTCTCTATATATATTGCATACATCACATCTGGATGAAAAAATAAGGGTTTTATTTAAGTTAACACAAAACTCTTGCTTTACCACAGATTGTGCTGTAATTTACTGTGAAACAAGTGAAACTCACCTTTGGGTCTATTCGTGCTTCCTGGGGAAACCAGAACAGTCTTTGTTTACATCTATTTAAATAACTGCATCCCACCTCTAACATAATGTTCTTTTTTTCCTTTCAGGAAATTATGATTCTTATTGTGATTCTTATTGTTATTATTATTATTATTATTATAATACAGGTCAGACAAACCCCTTGTGCTTGCTATAATCTGTGAAGTAGGAGAGCCTTGGCTGTCTGGTATTTTACTTGAACAAAGAACCTTGATGCTGAAGAGTGTTTCTGAATGAGAGGGCACACAGTGCCATTGTGAAACTATGAGTGATAGGAGAGGATAAAAACCATGAGCCAAGAGTTGCTGCGTTTAAAAATAAATAATTTAAAAAAAAGATTTAAAAAAAAAAAAAAAAAAGAAGAGAAACACTTGAGGATAAAAGAGGTGAATGAGGGTTATTTTGTTTTGCTTTGTCTTCCATTTCTTTTCTCCTTTCTACTCTTAAAATTGGTATTCCTGTATCAGATGTGGCAATCAGGCATCCATGACATTTTGTCCTCTTCCTAGATTTTACTTCACCATTGTCATTATTTTGCTGCCTTTAATGCTACAGATGGAGGATGTGTTGTCCTCTTGACTGGCTGCTGTAGCATGTAGCCTTGTTTGCTTTACTGTCTCTGTCCCCACACACACACGCTGCTGTTTGTAAAATCTCACCTTCACAGTTCTTGGAGGAGTGTGTTTTCAATGCTAAGAGCTCAGCCTGAAGAAAAGTAAAAAGTAAAAACCGTGGTTATGGTGTTTCTGAAAGGTCAAACACACAGCTCCACCAAGAATTTAAAGGTGACATTATTGTTCAGCCTTTCATCGTCTTTCTCATTTGTCAACTATCGCAGAAACAGAAAATGTGAAACTATCTCGCAAGATCTCGAAGCAAAAATCCAGCAGGATATCAAGCACATGATGCTTTGTACAATTTTCTGTGTATGTGTGTATATTATTGAGATTTAAACCATTATTATTATTATTATTATTATCATTATTATTATTATTCCTGCGAGAAGTTTGTTTTACAGCCAAAGCATGTAACATGTTGCTTTAAGCCTTTTGATTGGGCTACACACAAGACTTGACTGTACGATGTCTATGTTTCCACAGTGGCCTGTTATTGATATATTAAAAAAAGAACTAATAAAGTTATGATTTGTAGCCTGATTCCCTCTGTACAGATGTCATGACTATATTAAAATATATAAATACATACAGTATATATTTAACACAAACTTGAGTTCTAACAAGTCACGTGGATGCTTGGGGCATATATGTACAAAATGCTGAGTGTGTATTGTACTTATGATTTTTCATTTTTTAATGGTTTTCTTTTGTTGAATTAAGACAACTGTATAGTGATGCATTAAACTTTGCAAGCAGTACCATAGAAACACTGTGGCTTTTTTTTTTTTATTTGAATCCCAGTTAGCTTTTGTGTAGTCAGCAGCTTTTCTTCAAAGTGATATTAAAGGATAAGGCTGGTGGTAGTCTGTATTTTTCTATTTTTGTTGTCAAACAATATCACGAAAACGCCAAACCCAGCAATAAATCGATCCTACTAACAAATACTATCTGTGTAGGCAAAGCATGATATATTTTAAACCTTTTGTGCCAAAAATATGAAACATGCATGAATGAGCCTTGCTGTTGTATTCAGCAACATCTTCTTTACAATGAACATGAACAGAACAATCTTTATTTTAACTCTAATCCCTTGTACACCCTCCTTGTGGAAGTAAGAGTGGGAGCACAAAATTTGTGTTAATCTGCAGCTGAAAATAGTCCCCAACAAATGCACTATTTACTGCCTTTAAAGTAACATGCAAAAAACTAGAGTCCAGCAATTTTAGAGAAATAAACTTTTTTGTTTTTGTTTTTTTTGTTGTTTTTTTTAAGTGAATCCATTTATTTGTGACTTCATTTGAAAGATTTATTGTATGTCTGCAGTTGGGATGAATGAGCTTTGAGCTGAGTGCCACAGAAAGTACTGAGAGACAAACTAACAGTTTTGGTTTTCATTTGTTGCCAGCAACAAACATACAGGACAATCCCAGGCTCAAGCTGCACAGATTTTACCTCTGATCATGATCAGTCTTATAATATCAATGTGTTCTATTTTTTCTGTCAAAACATCTGGACAGTGCATACAACTGTACAGCAACCTGACATTAAAATTAGGGCAGAATTTTTAATATTTGACACCAGAACAGCTCTGCTTTCAGAAAACATCTCTCTGCCAAAAGGCCTATTTTTTTATGATTATAATTAATACTTTTTTTGAGTTTATGCATAAAAGTAATAGTATGCATCTCCTCTCTTCTATATAAGCCAGGTGCAGTATAATAAAGGAAAATGCTTAGAAAACTTGATTGGGTATTTTTATTGCCTAACCCTAGTTCATTGAATCTACCATGAATATAGGATGCAATGTGCAAACAAATACTTTTATACATTTTTTTTGTACTTGAAAATAAGCTAAAATACATTTTTGAGTAAACTGATGATCTTGTGGTTCAGCGTAAAAATTTCAAAAAACATCATAGTATATATTATGGAATAAAAACATCATGACATAGTATGGAATAAAAATGTCAAAAAACGTCAGTATAGTATGAAATAAAAATGTCATAGTATAGTATGGCATAAAAATGTCCAAAAATGTCATAGTATAGTAAGGCATAAAAATGTTAATTTACGTCATGGTATGGTACGTCATAAAAATTTCATTAAATATCATTGTATAGTATGGAATAGAAACGTTATAGTGTAGTATGGCATAAAAATGTCAGAAAACGTCATAGTATAGTATGGAATAGAAAAGTTATAGTGTAGTATGGCATAAAAATGTGAATATACCTAATAGTATGGTTTGTCATAAAAATGTGAATAAATGTCATAGTATAGTATGAAACAAGAAAGTCATAGTATAGTATGGCATAAAAATGTCAAATAACGCCATAGTGTAGTATGGCATAAAAATGTCAATATACGTCATAGTATGGTATGTCATGAAAATTTCATTAAACATCATTGTATGATATGGAATAGAAATGTTATAGTGTAGTATGGCATAAAAATGTCAATATACGTAATAGTATGGTTGTCATAAAAATGTCAATAAATGTCATAGTATAGTATGGAACAAGAAATTCATAGTATAGTATTGCATAAAAATGTTAATTAACGTTATACTATGTCATAAAAACGTCATATTATACTAAGGTGTAAAAATGTTAATAAACGTAATGGTATAGTATGTCATAAAAATGTTAAGAAACATCTTGGTATAGTAGGGCATAAAAATGTACAAAAAACGTCATAGAATGGTATGGCATAATAATGTCGAAAATGTCATAGTATAGTATGGCATAAAAATGTAGAAAAAACATCATAGTATTGTATGGTATAATAAAGTCAAAAATCTCATAGTATAGTATGGCATAAAAATGTACAAAAAACGTCATAGTATTGTATGGCATAAAAATGTACAAAAAACGTCATAGTATAGTATGGCATAAAAATGTTTAAAAAAAAGTCATAGTATAATATGGCCTAAAAATGTCAGAAAACGTCATAGTATAGAATGGCATAAAAATTTCAAAAAATGTCATAGTACAGTTTGGTATAAAATGTCAAAAATGTCATAGTATAGTATTGCATAAAAATATACAAAAAACGTCATAGTATTGTATGGCATAAAAATGTACAAAAACATCATGGTATAGTATGGCATAAAAATGTCAGAAAAAAGTCATAGTATAGTATGGCATGAAAATTTCAAAAAATGTCATAGTATAGTATGGCATAAAAATGAAAAAAATGTCATAGTATAGTATGGCATAAAAATGTCAAAAAATGTCATAGTATAGTATGGCATAAAAATGTCAAAAAACATCATGGTATAGTATGGCCTAAAAATGCCAAAAAACGTCATAGTATAATATGGCATAAAAATGTCAAAAAACGACATTGTATAGTATGGCATAAAAATGAAAAAAATGTCATAGTATAGTATGGCATAAAAATATCAAAAAACATCATAGTATAATATGGCATAAAAATGTCAAAAAACGTCATGGTATAGTATGGCATAAAAATGTCAAAAAACATCATAGTATAGTATGGCATTAAAATGTCAAAAAAAAATCATAGTATAGTATGGCCTAAAAATGCCAAAAAACGTCATAGTATAGTATGGCATAAAAATGCCAAAAAACGTCATAGTATAGTATGGCATAAAAATG